TTTCTGTTTATAACGTAAATCACGAGCTCACGTTTACAGCATTAATTGGATTTATGATCAACGTATAAATACGACTCCGATATCTTTCGATAGGGAGAGAAGACGATGTAAACCATTCTAAGCTAGTCTGGATAAATGTTATAAGATTTATATTCTGTGTGTTGTGGAAATTTACGAATAAAAAATATAGAGATTTTTAACGCATCTTCATTCACGTGGGCGTTGAAGCTGAAGGGTGAACGGGTGACTTGCAAGTTCTGAGACAATCTACGAAATAGCAATATACGGTAACATACATACATTTACCAATCATATATGCTAAAAAAACAACCTATGGAGGCATGCAAAGGACATTTGACCCTCCGGTAGAGTTGTGTATGGCCCCCACATCCTGCAGGGCTTGAGGAAAATAACTTAAAATTCCAAAGCGTAAGATTGCATAAGCGGTCTTATTTGTAAAAAGGCACAAAACACGCCAGACATACTTAAAACAGCTTTGGAAATGAGGATTCACGGGTACCTCACTGCACCTGTGTTATATTTGGTTCATCAACTTTTGGTAGTACTATAGAAGAAATTCCGGAAGGGGTATAATCATCATTCATGATAAAATACTATCATATATTTTTTGAACAACTTCAATCTAGACCAGGGATCTCAAACTCGCGGCCCCAGAGAACTTCCAGTGCGGCCCTCGAACGCTTAACAATAATTGTAATAGTATTTTGGAAGTTTTTTTTTATCTAAATGTAATAGATTTTTCAAACCTTCTAAAGTGAAATTGATTATTCACACAGAAAACAATTTACTGAAAGTAGTTTTGGAATATTAATTTTTTTTGTCCACATTTTGACCCAATTAGGAATACACATCAAGCTAGCAAAAGAATACTTGAATAAAACACTTGAGTAATTAAATTAAACGCAAAGTACACGAAGAAGGTGGCATTTTCGAAGAAAATGGGAGTTGTAACATTTCTGCTCTTCACAAAATTCTGAAGCACATTGTTTAATTTGTCATATTTCCATCAATACAATCAAAAAACACAATAAGCTCAGCAGTCAATATGACAAATTCGAAGACCAACTTCGAACAGAAAATTTCCATGTGTTTGTATATTAATATATTATACAACGACTTAGTTACTAAAAATCAATATCAATAATAATTCAAGCAATCATATGCCACGCAAGGTAGTGCGAAATGTCTTGTCGGAAAAAATCTGTCATTTGTTTTTTTACTGATCTATACATGAAATGATAAAAGTAACTTTTTTGCATTACTGGAATTAATTAAACATTCGTAAAGATCCAGATAAACCCATGATCATGTGGCCTCGTTAGTTAGAGTTGGTACTATAAAATCATTTCAGACTGGCCTTAGTATGCTGGTGACACAAAAAAGATGCCAAACGCCAGGACGAATGTAATTATTAAAACATTGAGTTTATACTGTAGTATTTTTGTTAATTTTAGGTTCATATATTTAGATTAAGTTATTTTTAGTGTATGTATTATTCTTTCCTTATTCAAAGCTTGTTCAAAAATGATTTTGATGGTTGTACATAGAATTTTACGATTTTTTATAATAAATACTGTAACTTGCAAATGTTGCAATAATAGTGGAATGCAAATATTAATATGTAATTGCATTTGAAATTGAAGAAAATAATAAAACTTAATCCAACTGTTTAGTTGCATCACAATATATGAGCTATGTTCTATGAACATTTGTTCTTTTCTTTGTCTTGAACTTTCCATACTCCACAGCCCCTATTAATTTTTTTTAATTTTAATTACCATGTGATGGTCATACATATCTTTAACTTGTATTTTCTGTCATGATGTATTATCTCAATGTGCCAAACTATTAATTTGTGTGCATATTTTGCTTCCAGATGACATAAATGTATTGTCATGTTTATTACCTCAGCTTGGAGTATTGACAAGAAAAAGGTGCCAGTAAATTAGGTAAAAAAATTTTCAACTCATTGTTATAATCAGAATTCACAATCAATAGGAATTATAAACAGCCAACAATCAGTGAGATTATATGCGAAATCCCTCAGAATAAATTTGTCTAAAATCGGAGGAAGGCAAAAAATATAGGTAGTTTCCATTCACACAAGCATTTCAAGAAGACTTGCTCGAGCCAAACTAAATGAGCATCGTCAGGTGATCGGTAAGGCTGCAAGTTGAATTCAGCCCTGCAACCTCCTGCATAAAAGATAATATTAATTAGTGGGCTATGAGCTAAATTCCTAAATTTAAACAAACCTATCTACGATGCATTATGTACCAGCAATGTTACCTACGATTAACTGAATATGTAATATGTCTAATAAATTCACCTACAAAAGCAAGTTCGATAGGTGCAAACTTTGTGTTATGGAATTGTATCGCAGCACAGTTTTGTATGACACCCTCTTTAAATGAAATTTCAATGATTAAGCGCAAACATTAAAATTACTAACTTTGAACTTTGTCATTATCTGCAAAATGTTCCACACAAATCTTTCCGCTATCGCGTTTGTAATCTTCTCTGATAAAAAAAAAACGTCTATGATGTCCAGAATTGCTCTTTACAGCTTGCCTGTTATTCCAGCTTTCCAAGTAAGCAAAACTTCTTAGATATAGAGATTATTTTGTTTCGTTACAGGCGCAAAAAGGCAGGTACTACACGTAAAAAAGACGCCGAGTAGCAAAAGCGAGCGGAAAACGGACGCGAAAGGCGACGAGAAATATGTGCATTGGAGCGTATCATGAAATACAATGTTTTGCCTGTAGTCTTATGGAGTGACGTCAGAGTTGCCTATCATGTTGTTTAATGTCATTGGCCCCAGCGACTAACTCATGCCCTGATGAAGTTTTTCTGAATAGAAATTCGAAACGTCGGCAAATGATATCGTTTTGCTATACACCGGTTGTGCTTTATTTATCTTTGACATGAATATACCTGGTGGCAATCATGCGCTATCGCCTTTGTTTATTTATTATACGGCAAGCGGAGTTGGACATCTATTAGTAGTATATATTTACGATTAAACATTAATGTCATAGGTACGACAGTCGAGACAGAACAATACGACCTGAAGATGGCGCTGCGATCAGGGAATTCCCTTGGATATTATTGTGCAAAGCTGTTCCACTTTCACAATACGCACGGACTTTCACAATACGGAGTGGCATGAGACGGTACCGGTAGTACTGTAGTAGGATGGCACTGGTACAGACACAGTTAATAGAAATTACCTTTTTATAACCACCCTTATACATTAGTACGGTACTGGGGGTCTAGTATAGTTTAGTACCACAAGTATTTCTGGTGCGCGTATTATAACGAATTTTGGGGTCTGGTATACAGGTATAGTTTACTTCTAGTACTTCTAGTTTAGGTACCTGGCTCAACAATTTTAGCATATGTCAATCCTAACCCCCACCTGACTACGTCACCGAAAAATTACGTTATTTCGACGTCACGGTGGCGTAATAAGGCCCACCAAAGTATGCGGAGGGTTGTCCAAAACGCGCAGACGATTATCCGAAATCGAGCAAGCTATTTCTCTCGTTTTCTCCTCACAAACAAAGTGACTGTGTCATCAAAAAATTACGTCACCACGAAGTCACAATCACGTCATAGAGCTTGCCAAGTATAGCTACCATCGTCCGAAGATACCAAACTCACTAACGCCAAAGGTCTCTCTCATACCGGGATCCATGCGAGGAGAAAACAAGTGAAATAGTTTGCTCGATTTCGGGTGATTGTCTACTCATTTTGGATGACTATCTGTACACTTTGGGGGTGTTTATAACGCCACTGTGTCTTTGCAGTGACGTAATTTTTTGGTGATATAGTCAGGTGGGGGTTAGGAATGACATGTGCAAATATTGTTGAGCCAGGCCAACTAGAAGTAAGTTACATGTGGTTACCAAACTATACCAGACCTCATAGTGGTACCGCCATTGGTACTGTTTATCCAGTTAATCAGTTAGAATATAGGGTGGCTTACCCACTTTGCGGCCACGACCTATTTGCGACCATCAACTTCATCGATTAAATTAATAACGTAAAAATTAACGAACCGCGACGATATTTCTCACGCGTTATCGTCCACTTATTCCTCGTAGATCTGCGAAATTAAACTAAAATGCGGCCACAAACAAAAAAGTTACGACCGAAAACCCAACCAAAGAAAAAAAACAGACCATTTTTCCATGTCGCCAACTACCCATTGTTCCTTTGAAAAAGCTTGAAAATCCACACAAATATAAGAGATAAAAATATGAAACTTGGCAGGTGGGTAGAGTTGTGTTTCTTTTAATCATCTTTAAAGTTTCGCGTTTCTATATTCAAAGGAAAGGGGATAGGAGGGTGCGCATTTCCGATACGTCGATAATATCTTTGTCCACCAATTTGCGACCACCGTGTTTTAGTCTGTTTGATTGCTGTGATGCGGCGTTTTGTTTATAATTTGACAAGTTTTGTTCGAAATAACCGTGTTCTTAAAATATATGACGGTCAGAAATGCAATTAGAAGCCCATTTTTTTCACGCATGGCTGCGTATGCCTTAGCCTCGACGCAGCAGAAACGATGTTCAAGGCTTGAAATCCGTGGTCGCACACTGGTCGTTCGGTCGCAAATACGTCTTCAGAGTGTCGTACTTTGGTGGTTTGTATAGCTTTAACCCCTGGTCGTAGGAAGTTAATTCGAGTTTTAGCGTGTAGAATAAATGCCAATGCACCTACTGTGAAAAAATTAATGGGTTAGAAATATTGGTTTTTGTTTTATAGCGGTTTGAATGAAATCGTCCGCGGCTACACCACCCTATCATTTTGCTATTTCTGTTTTTGTCATATACATGTATCCTCTATTCTGCTATTGCAGTTTTGGCTATTTTAATTTGGTTTTAAGAAATCCCCTATTCCAGGAGTCAAAGGATTTGGCTTCTCTTTGCTTATAAACTAATTCAGACGTTAACTTCATATTTTTCATTTTTTTTATCAGTCATACTATGATTGCTAAGACGATTTTACGTAGACATTGTACGTCAAAAACTATTTTGTTTTGGAGGAACCTTGTTTCTGTATCCGATGCACAGCAGATGAAAATGGAATCAGCTTTTATTGAGAAAGACCCTGATCCAACAAAACGCACTTTTGGGCAGGATGACAAATTACCATCACTTCCATTACCAAAGCTAAATGAAACTATCCAGAAATACATGGATTCTTGCAAAGCAGGTGCTATATTCTAATTTCCAGATTACCATTCCAGAACACACATTCGTAAAATATGCTTGCTTCTGGATGTAATTTTCAGTATTCATTTTCAGGGCAGTAATGATAATGAGATATGACCTATCATACTGACATTTGGAAAGTTTATCAAGTTTATAGAATGCATTTGATAAAATAATAAAACCACAGTCAATGTCAAACCATGGCTCTTCATCCTTTCGATAAGAACAAGACTGATCTTCTTTCATCCATCCCTGATGCACGCTTGTATAGATTATGCTGGAAGAAATGACTATACCAGAAATATATTACTTACTAATATAATACTAAAACTGCTTATTTTTTTATTTCAAATATTTCATTTTAAATATTTTTAGCTGTCACTAAAGAAGATTTTGTAAACACTCAACAAATTTCTGAGAACTTTGTAAAAAATGAAGGAGTACAGCTTCATAAATCTCTTCTGGAAAGAAGTCAAGGTAAAATGCATTCAATATCACTAAGTTGGTGAAAGCTATATTAAGGCTCAAGATGACATGAATATTGCTGAAATAAAATTTGCAAGATTGTAGTGCAAGGACAGGTAGCTCCAATCCTTTATTGGACTAAGTTGTAAATCAGTAACATATTGTGACTACATAATGGTCCGCAAGGTGTGACCTATCCACATGATAATTATTATAGTCTGTTTGTTTATACAGTAAATTGATTGTACTCTCAAGACAACACTTATTTTTGGTTCATGGTTTCTATCTGTACCTAAACATCATTTTAGTTTGAATACTTGTGTTTTTTGGTAATATTGGGATTTTGTTTACTCACCATGATAGTTAGAAGAAACTGGATGGATGAATGGTGGACTGATGCTTACTTAAAATTCCGTGGAGTGTCCGGAAATCTCAATTTTACTGGAATCCCTGTGTTTAGTTTTTGGCCAGTTGATACATCAGATCAGGTTTGTTGAAATATATTTATATAACCTGGAAAATCTTTTGTGAAAGAAAAACAAATGTAATATTGCAAATGATGTTTCAGTGATGCTTCACGCCCCTGTAATAAATTAGTGCAATATAGGATGAATTTGCTTGTCGAATTGATGGTTAAAATAAGCCTATGATTGACAGTTGACACTCCACCTGCAAACCAAATTTCACTATCATTGGTTTTTCATTTCTGTTCTGTAGTTCTTTCATAATATGTGTATTCCATTGGGAATATTTTTGTGAATTGAGGTAATATTTTCGATTTCATCTTGTCTATTGTTGAAATATTCAGCTCAAAAGTGCAGCATGGCAATTACACTTTGTGATGAAATATTGGTCTCTGCTGCGGGAGGAAAAGTTGAAACAACAAAAAGACCGTAAAGGAAATAACTTCTCAATGTATCAGTTCAGGTTTGTCTTCTTTATTAATTTTTTCCACTATGGGTGAATCGATAAGCATAAAAGTGGAAACTCAATATCTTAATCTACAACACCAACCGATATTGGTCAACCCTTCGTGTTAACTGCAGTGAACAATTAATCATTGATAAGATATATTTGCTCTGGTATTTTTAGTTTCATTGCATGCAATTGATCATTCAGAATTAAATTGAATAATGTCATTAGATATCTGAATCCTACACTTTGAAATTCCTACATGTTGTGACTGTGTTAACTCTGACCCTTTTACCCCTAATTAAATGGATTACAATTCCAGATTTTCTTACAGAAGTTATGTATAAGATATAATGTATTTTTAACAGGTTCTTATTCAATACCTGTCGAATACCATATAAAGAAACAGATGAATTGTTCAATTGTTTTAAAACAATTTATGAGGGTGACTGTCCAACACATGTTATTATTTTTTATCACAAAAGAATATATAAAATAGCAAGCATCTCCAATAAAACAGGTAGGTAAAACAGGTAAATTTATATTGGATAGCATCAGCACAAATGAAGTTGTTCCATATTTCCCATACAGAAAACGAAAACAGTTAGATATTTATAATTCTTAAAATTTGCATCAAAACTCTTTTGACAACTTACAAGTTGAAACAAAATCAAATAAGAAGGGGATGTGTATTCGCTTATTACTGTATGTACGGTTATACACCATCACACCATATGTAATTTTCTGATCCATTTTTGCAGCACTTGTATTTGCTTACAGTATGTCTACAGTACTGAATTCCTTTAACAGGGCAAATATACACTCCCAGTCAATTTTATAAAGTTGTTTCTCAAATCGTGGAAGACAAAGAAAGTGGTGAAGGTATTTCTACACTGACTGAACTAGATAGGGATACTTGGGCTGATGCTCGATCACATCTGATTGAACTATCTCCTCAAAACAAAAAGAATATTCATGACATTGACACTGCATTGTTTTGTTTTAATTTATCTGATGATTCTCCACAGGTATGTATGATGAATTACCGATTGTGATAAAAATTGTTGATGATATGATACCTTCCAACTAAATTTCAGAGTGACACAGATTTGCTTAGATGTGGTGCTACAATGTCCTATGGAAACAGATGGATGGATAAGTTTAATTATATCTGCACTAAGAATGGTAAATTTGTAGTTCATGCCGATCATACACCATTAGATGGAATGGTTTTTGTGACGATGATGGCCTATATTGAAGCAGTGCTACAAGATATGAAGAAACAGAAGTTGTTGGAATTATGGAATGCTGGTAAGTTGACTTTCATTTATTCAAATCCTCAATCCTTAGTCCCATTCAGTATACAGTATTTATTTTCTCATGATTCATACTACAATTTCTTTAAAATTATATATGTTATGAATAAAATATTTACACTTTCACGTAGTGTTCAAATAATGTTAGGATATGAACAATATTGTTTTTATCTTTGATATTCCACAGTAAATGACATTGGCACTCAGTATCTTTCCTGAATGCATGTTTTCTAGATCAAAGTCCAGTTGATTCTCCTGTTGAACTGACTTTTGTTGTGAATGAAAAGCTTAAAAGCTGGATTGAAGAGGCATCAAAAATAGCTGAGAATCTGAACCTAAACTTTGATTGTAACTTTTTCAACTTTCAACAGTTTGGAAAAAAAGCATTGAAAAAACTGAAAAATGTAAATGAAGGCTTTATATTACATTGAAAATTGAAATACTGCTGTATTGCATGAAACTAACTAAAAAAATGACTATTTTAGTCCCAATTTTCATTTAAAATACTGATTTCGATTTGTTCTCAAGTATTTCTGAATTCATGTTGAGAAATCATCTGCCATTCGTGGTTTTCACAATTCTCAAAATAGATTGACTTTAATTCCATAAAAATGTTATCATATTGCTTAACAGGTGACCTAAAAAACCGAATTCATAAATTTCATAATTATTTCTACGAAAATGAAGAAAATTCCTTTCACCTTTGAACTTTTGTTTGTGAATTATTGTACCTAGAATTTTTAGTAATCTAAGATGCTTTGCACAAAAGTTATATTCTCTTTAGAATATGTTTCAATGGCCTGGGTTCTGTTTCTGGTGTCACCCTTTAACTTAAGTGATGGAACTATTTAAAGAGAACTTGGAATTTGGACTTACAAATTACAATTATGACATGAAGATATTATGCGTATGCTACCTAACATATTTACTATTTCATTAATTTTTTCAGATTCATCCTTGCGGATTCGTACAGATTTGTATTCAACTTGCTTATATGAGAAAACATGGCCATCCTGCTCCTACTTATGAGACTGCAACAACTCGAATGTGAGAATATCATTTATTGCTGGAAGTGGTACTAATGTCATATTTCCTTGCATATAAAATGTATATTTTTTTCAGCTTTTATCGTGGAAGAACAGAGACCATACGCACTTGTACCTCTGAAGTTGTTGAATTTTGTGAGGCAATGATTTCTGGTTCGTACTTTTTATTCAGTTTCCTTCAATCAATATTGAATAACCAGAGTTATTTTATTGTGTTTTTTGGCAGATCTTCCAAACAAGAAAGAGTTGTTCATGAAAGCCTGTAAAAAATATGTTTGGTTGATGGAGGAATGCAAAGCAGGAAGGGGATGTGATCGATATATGCTTGGTATTGCTGCCATAGCTAATGTAAGTTTTATAATCTTTGCATCCAGAGTATTTAACCCTGTGCTTGCTTTTCGCATTATTTTACCCATTGACAACAAAATTTTGAGACCGTAACCAAGACTATACTTGCAATTTGTGGCTGATTTTGATTCTCATTATTAATATAATAATTTACTTTTTTAATACCATGCAATTATCTTTGATTTCGATTATACATGGGTCCAAAGGTGCCATAGCCTGTTCATTATCTTTCTAAATGTCCTGTAACAGAATTCTCAATAGTTCCCTTGAATTTTGCAGGAAAATGGGGAAAAGCTACCTGAAATATTCTCTGATTCTTCATTCGAAAAATCTGGAGGAAATGGAAACTTTATTCTTTCAACAAGTTTTTCAGGATATGCTAACGTCAGTGCAAAATTTTCTCAAATTTTTTATTGAGGCGAATGTATTTTTGATTTTATAAGATTTGCTCATTTGTAGTTTGAAATTAAATTTCAGAATTTCAACTTTTATTTGTTTTATTTATTTGAGTAGAAAGAGCTCCACTGTATCAAAAAATTAGTGGAAACTGTAAGTTTTATATGATCTCAATGATGTTTTTACAGGCTGCAGGATCAGCTATGCCAATGCGTGATGATGGATATGGTGCATTCTATAAAATAAATGATGACCATATGACATTTGTTATCACAGCAATGAGGAGTGGACCAGAAACGGATGCAAAGGACATGGCACTACATATTGGGAAAGCTTTGCAAGATGTTTATGACTTGATGGTTGATTATTATCCCAATTTGTAATGTTCAATATCTAAACAGATATCAATATCTAAACAGATATTGAATACATTTAATATCAATTTGTGGATTACATGATCTTGTAAATGTCTTGATTTTTTAATAACAAAACTATGTGCTTTATTTCTATATTGTTTTACTAATTGATTGGTCAAATAGCTTGTTTGCTTTGAATCTTCTTCTTCATACATCACTCATTCATTATTCTGCTGGTTATATTTTGTTTTAATCAGATTATTACTTACAGGGAAAGCTCACTGTAACATCTATAGATTGTAAAACTTCAATTATCCTCTACTGAAAAGGTGTGAATTAAGAAGTAATATCAGTACCATAACTTCTGAAACTTATTTTTACATTCCTTGATTTGATGAATACAATATCTGTGCTCCATACTGTACTGAAATTTCTTCAATATATATATGTATTGTGTACTAGTTACCACAATTAGAACTAACTATTCCGATTCATTTTAACTCTCTTAAAGTGCTGCTTGCTGAATTTAAATGTTTTTAGTAATGTATTTATATATCATACCTAATGCAATCTTTCATTTTTAATTATCTAAAATGATTCTTAATAATTGACTGTGCAATTTATATAATGTAGCAAATGTTGTCTGTCCTTTCCAATAATGTATGCAATAATTTTTATGTATAATTGATGCTATATTGAAGTCTGACACAATTTTGTATTGACCATTTTGAACCATCAGGTTGTTAATGAATGTCTTTCGACGGCTAGAACTTAGTTATTTTAATACGATTTATTCTATACAATCAGATAAATTCAATATAATCCTCACACGCTACTTTATTTTAACAATAATGAGAAAGCAATTAGTAAAAATATTCGTTTACCAACATAAGAACAAAATGCCAAAAACGTCGATTTATTGGATACTGTGAGCTTGTCTCTGAGTATGTTGAATTCATGTCGAGGCTTTTGGAAAAATAAGTCCAGCTGATGCTTTAGAAAAAGTACAGTCTTACCTCTATTAATGAAAGACCCCGAATACGACATTTTCAAGTTACGAAACGCGCATTCGCATTGTTGTCAATTGAACAAACTAACCGAACAAAGCAAGAGATAAAAAAGAAAATGAAAAACAGTAAAGCGAAACAGAATAATAAATAAAATGCACAAAAGAAAAATTTTTGACACATACTACGTGCCGGTGTCCGCCATCTTAGTTCACATACTACGGGAGTACCTTTTCCACGACGTAGTGATTCATATATTTGTTCTAAATCGCGTAATCATGAATTTTGCTTTACTTGCATAAATTTGCCATCTCCCAGTGCTAGCTATATCTGCCAAACGTGTCTTGATTCAAAAGTCCATACCTTCGAGTTTGCCTTCAACCGTTTACCCCATTACAAGTAAATAGGTGTAGAGTTCTCTAGCATTGTGATAGTTCCATCTCAATAGAAATCAACCGATTTCAATCTTCTCCACCTAAATGTAAGATCACTGTAAAAGCATATTGATGTAAATGATGACAAACTTTATACAACTTCCCTTGTTATCGCAATAAGCGAATACCAGATTCAGCATACCTGCTATTATCCCCATACGTATAGATTGCTACAACTTTGTTAATGTTGCTTCTCCTAGAAATGCTGGAGGAGTTGGTTTCTATACGCTCTGATATTTCGTTCACGGAAACCCAGGAGCATGGTCTCAGTTTCTCATCGTGAAGAAATGTGGACTTAAGTCAATGAATCACCCAACAACAACTAATAAAATAATCGCAGGTGCTATTTCCAAATACCGTCTATCTGAGTTTTCTAATTTCCCAGAAACAATGGATTCGCTACTTTCCAAATTCGAAAAACCCTTTCATACAGACCAAACAAAATAAATAGCAAATGTTATGTAAGGTAATTCCCATATTTGATAAGATATATTAGCAAACACGGTAATACCAGTTGCACTTCAGTTATAGAACGTTTGTAAATGGAATGATGAAACGGGAAGTTGAGCGATTATTCCCAAGTCCATATATACTTGAGTTTGTGGGTTCCGAAGAGTAAAGTTACTGTTTTGCTATTTCGTTGGGTGGTTGTCGATGTTTTGTCGAACAAAATCGTCGCGAGTATCCCTTTTTTAACTTTGTATTTAGCTTCATAAATTCATAGAGAATTTTGTAATAAAAGTGAAGACTTGGATTATATCATCCAGTATGCTAGTTTTAATTATACTATTAGTTAATAGCTCTTAGCCTACTACTGCGTTTTTGTACGCAAAAACAAGATGGAAATCAATGCGACTGATTGACAGAGACTCTTTCAGTGAGTAGCATATAATAAGTACTATATTATAAAATAGCTCAGCCCTGTAGCTGTTTAATTTTCGGTTATGTTTTACTTCGTGTTTTATCCATATACATCCATTTTCCCAGAGTCCCTTATGGAGAATCTTACCAAAATCTGATACGTGACCATCTTACCATCTTTTCTATATTCTATACTGTTTGCTGGTATCTTTTCCAGAAAAACGAAAGGAAATGGTTGGTTTCATTTCGTTCAATTTTACCTGAAATTTTTTTTAAATAATCAAATTAAAACAAATATTGCCTAGTAATATTCCAGAGATTAAACACCTTTTACGTTTCATTGTTCATCCTTGCGCTAACATTTTATAATTGGAGAATATTTTGACAAGATAATTCAACTTTCAGAAGTGAAGCTGATCATAAAACTCGGAATAGCAAATTTGCTTCATGTGACTGGTTTGTCGGAGATGTTGAGGGTACGTGCCCTATATCATTATCATTTTAGAGCACCCAATGGATATAAAACAATATTAAGCAACGCGGAAATGGCTGCTGTGTATTGGGAAGCTCTGAAATTCAAGATTAGAGATGAATTCGAGTCGAATTCTTTTTCTTGAAACAGTAGATATAACGGGCAACGTGTCATTGGAAATACAAACGCTTGAAAAATGGCAAAAGAATAACCAAAGGTTATAGTATCATATCTGTTTGATAGATATTAGTCAGTAGCTAGTTTTCGGAATTGACCCGTCCTTTCAGCAATGAGTAATATGTTTTTGTATTTAAAATCTTTGAAAAGTAAATGTAATGGCGCTTCATGCTCTAACACTGACAGGGGCGAACTGCGATCGCGTTCCAAATCCTGCCAGTTGAGTAATTCAATTTGGCCCGCGTGATTCTGCCACAACCAAACTAAAACCAAATTTTGATGTTTTAGCTAAAATAAATAGCTCAAGGAATTTTTGAGATTTCGATTAAATTTAGTTTTGGCACGAGGCTTATTGTTTTCCACTTTTGCTCTTGTAACGCCGTAAATATCGTTCATAAAATGTAACTTTTTACCTTACATTTACTCCAGTCAAAGAATACATGTGATTTTGTAATTTATTTGGGTAAGGTAACATTTCTATCTCCTTGCATTAATAAAATTTGTGTGTGTATGTTACATCAGTTACCAGATATTCTTTATAACACTCCATTTATTAAGTTACTGTACAGTGTGGACTAACATTTTTCGCTTCACTTCTCGCCTCATTCAACTTGTTACACCTGACTTTTGCAACATTTCTTGCATCGTTTCGCATTGCAAAATCCAGTCCATTGAATCATACCGTATAGAGGTTCGTGAATCATGAATAAAAAGCTATCGTTTAAACAAAATACACATGGTATAGCATTGAAGCGTCAGTAACTAGTAGGCATGACGTTTTTTGAGACAACGTGTATTAGTATATATTTTGATTTGAATTATTACTTTTTTGACAGGTATACCAAGTCAAGTCAAGTTTATTTTTTCCAACCAGTAAAAAACAAAAACAAAACAAAAAACACATGCAAAAATATATAGAAAAAAATGATATTTAAATACCTATACCTTTCTATACAAATCCATTTTATGAACGCTGTGTTTGTTTTCATTTGAATGAATATAAATTTTTCTTTTTCTTTTTTGATTAGATATTTAGTTTTTCCAGAATTATCAGTCAGACAAAGAACGTATCTACTTTACTACATACGAAGCTACAAAGAAAGACTTGAAAGGTGAAATAACGTATTTAGTATTCCGGGAAGGAATCTTACTGATAGACAAATAAATACGATATTCAAACACCGCACAGTCAAGAATATAAGTTAAAATAAAAGTACAAATGGCTCTCATGCCAAAAATGCAGGGATAAATATTTAATTGTCCAAATTCACGAGAAGGGAGAAGTTGGTGACAGGAAGAATTACTCCACACTGAACGAAAATGCAGCTTTTGATGAGCTCGACAAAAAGGAAATGAAAAATAGCAATATTGAACTTCAATTTTAATTCAAATTTTGGTATAGGAAATGTATAATTTTTCCCGCCACATGTTATCTATACATTTTAGAAAAACAGGATTACTCTGTTAAACACGACTAATAATCAGTCCAGCATTTGGGTTACATAACATACTGATCTAAACGTTGGAGTAAAATACTGTAAAGAGAGAAGAATGGGTCTTAGACATCTGATAATTCAAAAATCACTTCTCCTATGGTATTAATTAATTATAGGAATTTGTTTATATTTTTCAAATTTTGCTATTACATGTTTTTCAAATGGAACGATTACTAATGAGTCTCAACAATTTTCATAAATATTCGTAGCAAATCAAAGTTGTAAACTGGCAGACAACTCTAGAGCCAGTTGTCTTTTCTTGGTGATTTTATATGCCATAGTTAGCGCCAGTGGCGGCCCGTCAATAGGGCCAACCGGGGCAATGCCCCGGTTGTTTTTTCGGTATAATAAAAAATATTCGAAAAATACCTCAATATCGGTTGCACAGACTGTCTACACTAGCCATATTCTCCCGACATGGTTCATTTTTCGCTCGCAAAGCCTTCGCCGAACGTCGACGGGGCGACGCCGATTTTGCCCCGGTTGCTCATTGTATATCGTATTCTCTCTTTTATCTTCCACTCGCCGCATTTGTCTCGTTTGTTTTCTGTTTCTTTTACTAAATCATCGGGGCTAGCCCCGAAATTATGACGACACAATCCCGACGTTTCTTACAACAACGGGTTGACATATTCACGCATTCCTTCTCGTTCGTTGGTTGCTTCAAGAGTTGATAGTTTCCTCGCCTTCGTTTTTGTCGCTTGTTCCGCTATTTGAATCAGTTAGAGACCTTTAGTCCATTTGCTTTCGATTTTCCACATTCCTTTTGAGCTCCTCACTTCTTTCCGGCTTCGCATTTCTTAGCCTTAGACCTCATAATGAATAAGGTTGATGCACTACTTCGCACTCCGTTTTCGCAGCTGCCGCTGGAACAAAAATTAGAGGTACAACGTCTTGGGCCTTATCAACCAAAAAATTGTTCACTGGAACAATCCCATGACGGAGGAAAGCGTCGGCGTACATTCTGCGCAGAAACTTGGTATAAAAAACACGAATGGTTGTGTTACAGCGAGGACAAAAATGCACTTTTTTGTTTTTATTGCCTACTTTTTGCTACCGCCCGTGACTCACGTTGGTGTAAAATTGGTTTTAGAGATCTTAAACATCTTTCCAAGCGTGCCAGGGATCATCAATCTTCTATGGAGCATCTGGACAAAGCAGTAAAATACCGAACATTCGGAAATGTTATTATTGCAGCACAGTTGGATGAAGGACGCGCGGTTTCTATTCGTCGGCACAACCAAAACGTCGAGAAAAACCGCCATGTTCTCGGTCGATTGATAGATGTTTTGAAGTTCATTGGTTGTCACGAGCTGTCAACGAGCTGGCTCTTCTAATAGAGGGGTATTTTTGGATATGGTGGAATACACCGCATCCCTAGATACAGTATTGAGCGATCATCTTGATGCCGCAACTGTTTCGAAAGGGGCATCTTAGGATATCCAAAATGATTTGCTCGACTCAATGTATAAAATTTATTTACAACATTTGGCTCTGGAAATTGAGAATTGCCAGTTCCTTTCGATTCAGTCTGACGAGACAACTGACATCACGTGCTTTCAAGTTTATATAAAAGAAGATTTTCCTCATGCGCATTTTTTACATTGTTATGCACACCAATTTAACCTCGTTATTAAAAATATGTGTCTTGATACCCCTCTCGTCCGTATAATTTTTTCAAATGTTTTGGGGTTTTCTTCATTTCTTTCCGTTTCGCCGAAGCGCTCTGACCTCCTTTGCCAGATATGTAGCCGCCGTCTCCCAGCTTGTGCACCAACACGTTAGAACTTCCAATTACGCGTGGTGCAGGGCGTGTCCGAACTTAGGTCTGAGCTCATTGAGTGTTTCAATGGCATTCAGAGCTTTCCGGTTTGGGACGAACGCTCTGTGAGGGAGGCGGCAGGTATAAAGCGTCTGCTAGAAGATGGTGAGTTTTCATTTTTTCTCGCTTTTTTCTCCACAATATTCTATCACGTGGATGTATTATACGGCGCATTGCAGTCAAGGCTAATGGATGGAGCGTCTGTGCAGTCGTGTATTTCAGACTTCTGCGATGCTGTATCTCGTATCCGGGAAACAATGAAATACGATGACACATCGAGTGCTTCTTTACGCCGCGGGCAAACAACGCAGCGTTTGATTTTGTCTGCAAAGGAATGCTGTGACATTCTGGTGAATCAAATAGACGATCGTCTGCGCACTGAACACCTTGCCGCGTTCTCTTTGATGAACCCCAAAAATTTTTCAAAATTTGCACTTCAATTTCCCATCCATTTGTTGGCTACTGTCTCCAAATTTTACCCCATGATAAACGTGGGTAAATTGGAAAATGAATTGCGATGTATATACACCAATCAAACTTTTTTGAACATCACATCAACTTGCGCGCTCTATGGGTTCCTCATAGATAACACTCTAGTAACTACCTTTGCGGCGTCTGCAAAATTTCTGGACATCATTTTGACGACGCCTATTTCTTCCGCCGACGCAGAGCGAACACGCTGGAGCGTATTAAAACGTACCTCAGAAACACAATGAAGCAAGATAGATTAAATTCCTTGGCTGTTTTATCCATTCACAGAGACGTTATTTCTGGGATGCATGACTTTAATCAGCGCGTTATTGAGCATTTTGCTTTCAAGAAACCGCGGCGTGTTGCATATATGTTCAAGCAGTAGAAGTCTAGCAGCATATATATCTATGAGTGAGCGACGCATGTCCTTATCTTTGCATTACCTTTCCTTTCTTCATAGCAACGTTTTAAACCTTATTTTAGGTTTTGTCTGCTTTCCCGAAGTTTCTGTTAATATGTCATTGTATTTATCTGGGTAAATATTGCCTTTCCTTTTGAAAGAGGTTTCAAAATAAACTATGTCTATATTTATTAATCTCTTGACTTGGACCGGTTTTAAAGACACCTTCTTATCGTTAAAAATTGTCGCTTTTGCCGATTGGTTGTTACAGATGGAATGGTTTTTATACTCATAAAATGATGGGAGAACTTACAGCGCTCATCCTGTCCCCGTAGATGGGGGTGACTTGGTCCCGCAGTAGCTTGCCCCGGTTGTCAAAATGACCACGCGTAGCGCGCTGATACGGTTACACAAAAATTGTAGATTTGAAATTTCAGTTTCTTTTCCGTATTGAGTTGTGTCGATCTATATGCATAATCGACATTCAATTTTATTCGCATATCATACACACTGAGATAACGAACGACGAGCCGAGTGACAGTATGCTAATATTTGATATTTTGCAATAAATAAATGTAGGATATTGTTTGTTTTATCGCTGGTACCTCAATTATATCTCAAATGCCGAACTACATTTGGACGTTTGTGTTAATGTTCATGGCAATTAATTTTGGTAGGCTGCGTCCACAATTAGCGCACGTCCATAGCGTTGTCTATATACATGCTACACGGAAAGTCGAAATTTTGTTAAGTTAAATATATTGTGATGAATGTGGACTATTGGATTATTAACCTAGCATCGCTGTAAAATTCCTAAATTCTAAAACTTAAAGAATTTAAAACTGTGTGTAGCTGTATCAATCCTCAACACGAAGAAGAGCGTTTAACAATAGTATGAACAACGATCCTATTATGTATATATATAGATAGTTTTTAGATTTATTACAGGTCTATGTATTAGTTTATGACTATGGAGTGAAAATGACAATAACATGTTTGAGCTGTATAAACAACCAATGCTTTGCGCACCAAAGACATTTTACCTGGCGTACCTTAGGTACCTACATGATGTGATAAATGCATTTGAAGGCCGTTTTATAAAGGAGTATTTTCTATGAGGAACAAATCTGCATTCATATCAGCTCATGTGTAACGTATATATATCTAATATGTAAATACGTATACAATGGACATTGGTAAAGATAAGAGGATAGAGTTGTATCAAGTATGTAAATTAGAATACTTGGAGTAAAATAATATAAATTGTATATTAGTTAACTACTTGTGCTATTAGTAGAAGGTATAAATTGCCTACCCCAAAAGCCGTATCTATCTTCGAAGCAACACAATGCAAAAAGTTTAATGCATATTCATCCTTAAATTCCTGCACGACATAGTAAAAGTATTTATAACGGAGACTACGGGCCATGCCTGATAACCAACCAACCAAAATAAATATTAAATGTTATATAAGGAAATGCCCATATTTGAAAAGATGTATTAGCAACACGATACTACCAGTTGCAGTACAGTTATGGGACGTTTGCAAATGAAATGGGAAGTTGAGCGATTGTATCCAAGGCCGTACTTGAGCTTGTGAGTTCCTGATGGGTAAAGGTACTGTTTTGCTATTTCGTTGGGTGGTTGTCGATGTCCAGTTGAATGCAATCGTCGCGACAATTTTTTGTATTTTGCTCTATAAAATTACGTAGAGAATTATAGAATAAAACTGAAAACTTGGATCATCCAGAATGCAAGTTTTTATTATACTGTCAATATCTCTTACTACTGCGTTTTTATACGCAAGAACAAGATGGAAATCAATGCGACTGATTGACAGAGACTCTTTCAGTAAGTAGTATATAATAAGAACTCTATATAATAGCTAAGTCCTATGGGTGTCTTTAATTTTCAGTTTATGTTTAACTAACTTTAACTATACAACTCCATTAAACCAAATATTGCCTTATTTCCAGAGTTTGAACATTTTTCACTTTACATTGTTCATCTGGAGAATATTTTGACAAGATAATTCAACTTTCAGAAGTGAAGCTGATCATAAAACTTGGAATAGCACATTTGCTTCATGTGACTGGTTTGTCAGAGACGTTGAGGGTGCGTGCATTATATCATTTTAGAGCATCCAATGGGTATAAAACAATATTAAGCAACACCGGAATGGCTGCTGTGTATGAGGAAGCTCTGAAATTCAAAATTAGAGATGACGATGTTTTTATTGCTACTTATCCAAAATCAGGTGAGTGCATTGCATTGTACAGTGTAACATTTAAGAATACCCTACATTCAACGACAAGTTATTTCTCGATCACATCTTCGAATGATTTTGAAGTCAGATGCCAGTAATGTTACACATCCCCATGACTTTAAAAAATAAAATTGTGAAGTCAAAAATTGTGATTAGGCTTTTCATTTGTCTTTCCCTTTTTATTCCATCTCTGTTCAATATATATCATATTATGACATTTATTTTATAATACTTATATGACATAATGTTTCTCATTTAGTTCATCTCTCTTTTTCACCAAGATTACAAATGCTCCATTGAACACTCTTTAACAATATTATCTTATACAATCTACAGCAAAGTGCAATTTCACAGTATGCAACGCTATGAAAAACTATTCTTCTCAGTAAAATGTTTTCAAGTCGTAGAAACTTATAGAAGTTTATTGAACTATTGACTTTAACGAAGGTACAACATGGATGCAGCAACTTGTTTGGTTAATTTGCAACAATGCTGATACCTACTTTGATAAGGACAAGCCACTTACGAGTCGAATTCCTTATCTTGAAACAGTGGATGTGACGGACAACGTGTCATTGGGAATACAAACGCTTGAAAGATGGCAAAAGAATAGGCAAAGGTCAATTTCATATCTGTTTGATATACCGGTCAGCGACCATAATGTTTGTAGGAATTTACGTATTATTTTTCTAACAATATTTTCAGTAAATATTGGAGAGTAAGAAATATGCCCTTTATTCGAGCGTTCGTTAAAAAGGGAACGTAATGGTGCCTTATGGCCCTAACATATCATTTTAAATCGAATTTTACAATCCCGTTACATACACAAATTCAGAGTGTTTGATTTTAAACTCGAATAACTCAGTAATGCCATTGAATCCGCATATTATACCTTCGCAGGCTAATAAAGACTCATCTCCCTTATGGACTCCTGCCTGAAGATATTCAATCGGGTAACAAATGCAAGATAATTTATGTCGCCCGAAATGCGAAAGACGTTTGTGTTTCTTTCTACTTCTTTCACGTCATGAATATATTACTACCGCACCCAGGCACCTGAAGTGAATTTTTAGAAAATTATAGCTCTGGAAACATCATGTTTGGAGGCTGGTTTCCCCACGTTCTCAAATACTGGGAGGTAAGAACATATTTATGAACATGGTGCATGTAAATGGCTTCTTGGCGAAGGTGAAATCTGCGCTAATTCCAATAATTAATTATTGGATGTAATTATATATTACGACGGATAGGCCACGAAAATAATCGTTCAATAAAATATTTCCGTATAAGTATTAGTTGAGTTTAAAGTTTTAAAAACACCATTTGATTGTTCAATAAATAAGATAACTACAATAACTTATCCAACCCGTTCATGCTTTATAACACAGGTCAACACAAGCAATGTGTTAAATGAAACTACAATGGTTATTTGAAAAAAAAAAAATTAAATTTTGTTCCAAAGTTTTGCGCCCTTTCAAAGATCTAGGCCAGGGTATTCCGTGACTGTCAAACCTAAATGTCAAAAGCTACGGTAGCTCATTTTTCTTTAATTTTCAATTAGGAAAATATAGTATGCTAAAATTTATCCAATGTTTTTGTCTTACTTATTGGATACAAAGTGAACATGTGAATCGTTTTGCTGAATTATTGTTGTTGTTAGGATGAATGCCACAATAACTGATGAACGCAATGACTGATTGTAAATTTATAATACTTAAAGATGGAAATAGTCGACGGAAGGCCATTTCTTTTAGTATATTTTCTTTTTTCGAGTCCTATGGAAATTGATATTTTACGCAATTTTTTTCTGTTTTATTTCATTATAGAAAAACACTTATTCCACCACGCCTAACAACCTCGTCCATTAACCTTTCCTGCAAACCTTCGTGTCAATATATTTGAGCTTTCTTCTCATATTTTCTAGAAATTTCAGACAGACAAAGAACGCATCTATTTTACTACGTACGAAGCTATGAAGACGGACTTGAAAGGGGAAATAGTTGCTGTATCCAACTTTCTTGGAAAGAAACTAACTAATGAACAAATAGATATCATATTTAATTTTTGCACATTCGACAGTATGAGCAAAGACAGAAGTACAAATTACTCACATGTTAAAAATTTGGGGATGGATTTTAAAAAGTCAAAGTTCATGAGAAAAGGCGAAGTTGGTGATTGGAAGAACTATTTCACAATAAATGTAAAAGGGATGGTTTTGATGAATTATACGGTGAAAAAATGAAAGATAGTGGACTTGACATTCCTTTCGAAATATGATTTTTATTTTAAAATTGAATTTACATTTTTTGAATACATCAATTGCCGGTGTCTTTATCGTAGTAAATATTAGATTAAACGGATCATTCAAATATTAAAACATAGAACAAGATTCTGTTCCAAATTATTTCTTTTTATATATCTATATATTCAAACTGATATTATCTGATATTGTTGACAGAACGAATCAAAGCAAGTCTTACTGGGTCTTCATGAACGTACGTCGGTGACAATATATGTCTTAAAACTCTGATTGCTTCGCAGTGTTTGTTGTCCAATATCATTTGGTGGCAACTTATGGGCCAAGGAAGGACCTAATGTAAATACTGTGCATAATTCGTGTTCGTCGTCAACAACAATGATTAAACGATTGAATTACTTTATGTGGATAGGAATACCTTTAGTGGAGTAAATTTACAGGTTCAAATCCCAGCTATTCGTGAGTTCTACAAAGAAAAAATGAAAGACATTGGTCATGACATTCCATTACTGATTGTAATGTGCCAATGAATGTGCTTTACAGCAGCGGTTCCCAAACTATGGGTCGCGACTCACTGGTGGGTCACAAAAAGGAATCTTAGTGGATCGCGGAAATAAAGCTTTGGATTAATTATACTGGTTATTTAGGATCGGTGGCGACTCGAATACGTAAATCTTCCAAAAAATAAAAAAATTGACTTTGAAATGCCAATCTGTGAAAGTTCCTTTTGCGATCTTCTCAAAGGAACAAAAATTGCTACACAAAGAATGACCATGTGGCTTTTTTACGGATAACAGTTTGTACACTGTACAAGCACTTCTTACCGTGTTCCCCGAAATTTAGACAGGATTCAGCCTTTATTTTTCTTTTTGAAGAGTATTTTGTGTTCATTATAAAAAAAATAAAATTACATTGTAGAAAATTAGAGATTGTTAATAAACATTATATAAAAAGCGACATCCAGTGTTTTCATTTGTATTTCCTAGACAAAAATCAAGTGACAAATATCATAATTGTGACATCACACAATCTTGAACAGTGGTCTGATCTTCACCATTACCTCAGGTCATTGAACCTTTCCTCTCCCACACATATTTAAATTTATTTTAAGGGTAGGGTTTAATTAAAATAATTTTGAGACACTTTAGTGGACATAACGATCGTTTCAATATTATGTTGTTGTTTGTTATTTTTCTTTTTCTTCGTCACCATCATGTATAAATCTCCTTTCTCTTTGAATACTGGACCAATTGCTTAGAAATTTTCAGTGGTTAAAGTTTGATTTTTTTTCCAGAAGACTATTATTTTTATTTATTCCTAAATTTCCTATGAATATCCTAACGAGTTTTTATGTTTGCTGTCTACTTTTTGTTTTGTTTACGCTTTGTTTGTTTACCAAGTAAAACAGAAGCTAATCACCCAAATGCTATTATTATTAGGATTTGCATTTCGGCACAGGCATCGCCACATGACTTAAAATTGTTTTCAACACTTTCGCTCATCAAAATTTATTTATAATTCTACAAGTAAGCTTTGCCCGTGAATTTTACTTTCTCGTGTTTATGTACATGCCGTATATTAATTTTCAGTATAATTGCTGTGATGAGTTTTCCACTTGTGTGAGTGTGGGTAAATGTGCACAAACGCTTGCAGCGTTCGCTACAAATCTTTCTCTAGGTTTTGCCTATTTTCCCGATCTTTTCGTCGCCCTTATCTGTGTTTTTATTTTGTGTTTTGTGTTGTCAAGTTGTAGACGAAAGATCAAAATAAAATTGTATTGTATTGTAAGGAAGAACCGTTCCGCGAACGAATATCAGTCAGCCTACTGGTAAGTTACCGTACCGCAAATGAATATCGGGGAAGCGATATTTTCTTTTTATTTTGGCCTGGTACCGTAATGGAGAAGTGACTAGGATCACTTGGTAATTCAATTCACGTTGAAATTGGATGGAGAAGAATAGATCATTACCACAGGGCATGGAAGAGCTATGACAGTCCCTGTACCGTTATTTGTACCCAAGTACTAGTAAGTCAGTTACCATAGCCATGTAGCTGTTTCACTGTTCACATTCGTGCAGGATACCGTACCGAAGGCGCAGGGTACCCTATGGTTTTCGGTGAAGTGATGATAATATATATATTTCGTTTCATTCTAAGTGTCCATATATTTGAGCATAGCTCTTTTGTTAAAATTCAAATTAGGTCTTATTTTCAGGCCAGGTCTTATTTTTGAGGAAACACGGTAGTTTTGCGATGATTAGCCATTGCTGTGTTCTGATTTATGTCATAGAAAGTTAAATGGGCCGCCATAAGCTGTGGTAATAAATAGTGGGTCCCAACTCTAAAAAGTTTGGGAACCACTGTTTTACAGTGATCATCAATATTAATCCCTTTACTTTCAATGTACAACTACACAATAAGTTAATTAAATATTTTTATCGAAATTATTATTTTATGTGAGAATCACAACTCGTAGGTGTTTTTCCATTTTGGAGTCTCAGATCAGTCTTCATTTTGTTTCGTAATACTCCATAAATCTATATAGTCTCAGTAGCTTGTGGCATCCAAGTTATGGCCTGTACCTTTACTTGGATGAGTCTCTTTTACTTTTTGATTAGTGCACTTGACATTATTTATAGCAAATTTTTCTGGAAAGATTTATAACCTAAAATTAATTTTAGGTCAAATTTTATCAGTTCAATAATATTAAATTTTAATATTTAATTTGCTTAAGGTAGGTGTATAATTACGTGCACAATAATATATTTTATTTTTAACCTTCGACCTTTTCGTCTTTATATTGACAATAAAAATACAATATGACTAAAATAATAACAAGAGAGCTATGCTCAAATATATGGACACGTAGCGCCACCTAACGGCAATAATTTTGGTGACGTCATAGCAAAAAAAAATAAGCCTTCTGAAGAAAATATTTATCTTTAACCACTAAATTTCAAAGCAATTGGTCCAGTAATCAAAGAGAAAAGCGACTTTTTAAAAACGTGTCAAAGAACAAGAACAGCAACATAATATTGAACGATCGCTATGTACACTACGTGTCCAATAATACGTATAATTATTTTTACTAAGCGGATTCAGGTTTATCAAATTGATTTACGGAATTATGAAATAATATTCACAAAGATCAAGTTCGAAAATTGGCAAGAATCAATCTGATGTTGGGTAAATTATAGGCAATATTAGAATAAATGTTATTGCGTCCATAGGATGCGTTTTTTTGTTTGTAATGCAACACGATATATGCATAGTTTCATCATAATCGCTGATTGTCTTTGTCACCGCGAACGTTTCTGCGGCGATATCCTAAAGTTGGTATTTTATATCCCCGCCCTTTTTTCGTTTTTTTGCAAGAATAAGGGGTAGCCTTATATCGAAGTTTCATATTTCTATGATACCCTTGCGTTCACATTAGCGACAGTTGTTGAATACATTAAGGGCTGATTTCAAAACCAAATAAATTTTAATTTGAGTGTTATCCTCTGCCTTGAATTTGATCTTCCTTTTCATCGCTTGTAAATTGCCTGTTTTAAAGTGCACGGTAACCGAGATGCAGATATTTAATAAAATGATAAATAAGTTTCTTATGCTTTCCTATGGTGTTCGTGTTATTTTAGTATTATATAAATAAACCTAGCAAATTTACAATTGCGTGAATCATGAATGTTGATTTGAAAGAACGATTAAATAAATTGCAAATAAAGGCACTTCTAGGCCTTTGTGCCTAATAGAGGGTCCAGACGTCATTTATACCTAATTCCTTAAAGTTTTAACGTTTTTTTTTAACAAAACAACACCCCGATGGTTATTACAGCTAAAATACTTACTGAGTAATGCTCAATTTTCTTTACGGAATTTGCAAATTCAGCACTTCACTTTATGATTTTGAATATGTCATGCCTTAAGGGTTAATTATTACTGCCCAAATGCTTCAAAATTTAACAATTGTAATCATTTTCGATGATAATAAACGCAACAGTTCGTGAACGAGTCAGTGTGCATTGTTACAACGAAATTCACGATTGATTTTAAGTTCTACTCTTGGGCTTGGCTCAACGGCCATGCATGGTCGAGTGAAATGTTTACAAATTCGAAACATTACTTGGTCAAGGATGGAATGGATCGCTAAAGAGCTAATTACAAAGTGCTTTAAAGGGAGTAGGACATGACATTTCTTATCTAGTTACAACTTAATGAGTGTTTTTCACACAAGTAACTCATACCAACCATATAACTAGAGTTTTTCAGCGACCTAAAATCGCCTTTTTCACAATGAAACGCCGAAAAGTCATTTTGACATTCAATTTTAATCAACTTTATGTTCGTTTAAGAAGTCAGGAAAGGACTAACGACATGTCACCAAGCATGCGGAGTTTAAAATCTGGGAAATTTATTTTAAATACCTAATCTGGTTTGACGTTTCTAAATTTACGAAAACGGTCGGTACGTTTTTTGCAAAATATGGAATTGAAACGATACGTTAAGTGCAAAGATAAGCATATAACACCATAACGCAAAGAGAACGACTTTTCAAACTTGTCGTTTTTTTCTGATAGCGATCGCCGTTGGGAAATCTCGCACAATTCAAAATGGAGTTGGAGACGCACGAGTTCAGTGTCCAAGCAGAGCGGCGCAGGTTCACGTGGTACCGGATATTCGAATAGTAAAATGCCATTCGAATATTTTATTATTCGAATATTATGCCCAGCCCTAGTTGTTACGTGTGTTGTTGTTACGATGACTTGATATTTTAAATACACGCTTAGGGTTCGTTGCTATTTTACCTTGCGTTGTTTGTGTGCGGCTCTTCATAACTTTGAGATTTGAAATGCGCTCTGGGACTAAAAAAGTTTGAGAACCACTGGCTTACAGTGTTGAGTATACTAGTTGTGTGTATCCGACATGCTCTGATATGTAGAAAAAATAAAGATTCGTAGTCTGATTGTCAACGATTACAATATAAACTAGAACTTTACATCTTTGCAGAGTAGTAGGCCTATTAGTATAGACTGATCCATTTATTGTACTCGATAAAAATAATAAAATATGATTATATATGCGTCACATTTATATTTACTAAAACCATTATTAATATTTCAGAAGATCCCCTAGTGAAAGAGCCAAGGATATCTTCGAAACGAATCATGCAAAATTCAGAAATTTGAAAACCCAAAGTCTACCCGGGGCCGTTGGAGATTTGCCCAACAAAATTCTTGATGCATCTCCAGGTACTGTAAACCTATATATATTTATAATCTAGCCTTACAAAAAATGAAATCATACCCCTATCGTTGTGTTTGATTGTTGATTGTGTTTAAAATTTAACATTAAAGTTTGTGAAAACCAAGATATTTACATTAAATGCATGTGATAAAGTCACGATTGATCATACCAATCCTTTGATAACTGTAGGAGTCTTAAAATAACTATCACCTGCCGATTTCTGAAGTACGCAGTTGCGATTTGCATACATGGTAATTACTGTTGTACTCTAAGCGATATTGCAGTGTGAACCCCGTCGAGACAATCCATGCTTGTTTTTTTTATGACAGCTTCAATATTTAATACAAATAGATTCTAAAGGTTCGAATGATCAAGAACAAATGTTTTCAATGCAGCCGGTTCCAACGTCAACGACAGAAATATTGCCATCATCTTGCTGCCCATGTGCATGCGTAATGCATCTGCGGACACA